CCACGATCCACGTATACCGTGTACGGATTCGCGTTATTGTTTCCCTGTAAAACGTGGAACATGCATCGCGAAACGGTGTATCAACATCCGGACGTACAAACGAGCACGTCGATTCTTTGATCGAAGTAAAGGAACGAAAGTACAGCGAGCCCGTCGCCTATTCTGACTACGTGTTTCTCTACCAGCTGCAACTCCACCGTGCACGATAGCGCATTGTATCGTGCTGTTTTATGGGACTGCTCGCTGCTGCGGCCACGGTATTGCAGATCCGTGGTTAGATACACCTTGGCCACGCTGCTGTATCTTGTTTGGAATTAATTTGACGGGAATAATGAAGTTCGGTGTTTAAAAGATCGCTTCGCTGATGGGAACAGCGTGACGCGACATGTGATGTAGTTTTAGGATCGCGTATGTCCGGGATAATGAAATTTTAAGTGGTTAATATGTGTGGAATTTTTGAAATGATGGGTTTCAGATTGTTTATTTTTGCGATTACTATTATTATAACAACATACAAGTATGCAAGTGCTTTTTGTAGAATTAATATTGATTTTACATGTTGATATTATGTACAGTTTCCACTATACTTCTCTTTTTATTTCGATAATCAAGATTTTAATTTGTGATAAGGATTTTCTACGTGATAAAGTAGTTTTTAATAAGATGTTGTTATAATTCTAATATTTATTTTGAGAAATCAGTTTATTAAAATAATATAATCTTTATTGAAGAACTAAACCATAAACACAAGCTTGGTATTCAGTTTTAAAATATTTGTACAAACGAAATACGTTTCTTCGCGAGTTACTCTATTACAAATAATAATATCCATAAGAAAGAGAGCAATTCGAAATATTATTGTATCCTCTTCTCAACAAAAGAATTCCACTATAACTAATGGAACAAAAGCCACGCAGTTTTATATTTAAAAACCATTACCTACGTAGCTGGAAAGGAATACAAAACGTTTCCATTTCATTGCGAACAAATGGTCACGAAACTGCTATTATCGCAATTTTCCAGTCGATTCGCAGTAAATACATTGCCACGTGAACAAAACCAGCAGAAGCTTTTTGAAATACAAAACAGGGAACATTCTTCGTCCTCTTAAGCGATCATTCGTAAGATAAGCTTCACTCTGGCACATACGAACCGCCACCAGTCCTTCAGTTTCCACTTCTATGACAACTGCACACATTTATGTGGTGTATTTCAAAATCGTTTGTTTTTGCTGAAGCTGATATGAAGTAATAATGGCAATACATACACACATAATTTATAGAGATAATCGAACAAATGGAAATTAGTATGCTGACCATATATATATGGAATGAATCATGAGATACATAATACAGGACATTTAAATATTTTTTCCACCAATTTTCAATTTATGCAACATATGTATAGGAATGTTTGAATAAATTTCGTGCCTTCAAGCCGCATACTAACTTCTTATTCTCACTGTATTTGCTTCAGCTCGTAAATAACAAAATTAACTGCTCGAATTCCAGTCTTCCATACTTTATCGATCGTGTTAGCATTCATTGCCGAAGAAATGAAGTCCGCGCCCTTAGGTAACGGTCAGGAATTGCACGGCTCTCAGAACTCCTAAGTCACTTCTGAGTGAGATTTCACGCGTTAGGGACGGCCACGTGCACGCGGTTAGGCGACACAATGTAAACTCTCTTTCTGGTCGAAGAGGAAAGACTGTATCGAGAAGAGTAATCGCGAGGACGCGTGAAAATTGATACCTGCGAGCGATTATCGCGAAACAAATCTCTAGAATCACGATTGAGACCCATTGGCGAACTCGTAAATCCTCCGCCTTTTTCGTATCGACGTTCCTAGAGTGCCTCAATCGGCATGCAGGCGATTCGCCATCCACGTTCCTTTGTAAACAGTCGCCCGTTGGCGGTTATTACGAAAGTTATCTAACAAGTTTCACCAAATTATATGTATCTGTTTACGAACTGCACCAGAATGCCCGAAGGATGTGAGATTCTATCGTTTCATCCCGTGGATAGGTTGACGAATTGCGTTCAGACTAGATTAGAAACGTCAGATGGATCTAGTGTGGAGCATTATCAGGGATTGAACATCAGAATCCTCTTGTACAATAATTTATTAAGTAATAAATAACATTAGTGGATGGACAAATAAAATTTTGTAGGTCATAGAGTTTTATTACCTAGTCTTACGGATATGAAGAAAAAATACATAAAAATATAAATTCCTGAAATCCCATGTAGTTTATAATCATATAGCTGGACTTCGATTATTCTTTCATCGAAAAAGTATAACATTAATCAACAGGATTCTTTGATCTTTAATTTTTCTGGATTATATATGGGATAGTAATTTTTACTGCTATTATAATCTTGTACAGTGATATTGTATGTTTGATTTTCTATTAGAGAATTATATTGGTATTGCAGAATTTTATATTTTGAATACTTTTGAGTATTGTATTTAATTGTATGTAGGATAATAACTTTCATTCTTATTATAATTTTGTATTTCATTTATAGCTGCAACTATATTTGTCCACTAATTATGGAGATTTTCACGACATCTTATTTGTGTCTCAGTTATCTGTGACAACAGCGATAAAGTTAACGGCATCGTTCCTATTACCATCGTGGAACTGTCTTGCGCCACGAGTACGAAAAATGTTCGGAACCTTTCCCACAACGGAATTTCTGCTCGACTAGATGCCACGTTCGCAAATTATTTTGTTAGAAACGGTCCTCGTTGGACATCGACTTGCAAAAATAGGTTTTCATAAGAAAATATTAGCGCTAGCGTTGCCCGGGAATTATTTATGACGCTATAACATACCTCTGTAGTATTCAGTAACGGGCCACGTTTATTTCCACGTTGTGCATCTCATATTTCTTACTTTATTCAGATTTCATATTTTTCGTCTGGAGATAAAAAACGGAATCATGAATGTCTTACGTCTCTTTTAAATTATTACACTGCGTTCCACTAAACCTACAAACCATCCAACGTTTCATATTTTATTCCTCAACTCGAACTAACCAGCTTATCACACATGCAACAAAACCTTATTAAATTACACGTTTAAGTAAATACTCTCACTGCAAATGAGCCATTTAATTGAAAAGTGGCGTAAGTCAAAAAGGTTGATTACTAGACAATGAGGGATAAAGTAAAAATTCTGTAACGGGTCGAATGGCCATCACTTTCACCTATTCTTTTCTTCACTGAGAAAATAATGCAGATATACTTACGCCACTTCTGCACAAAATAGAATGAAGGTTATGCTTTCAAGGTGTGGTGTTAAACCAAATGGGCAAAAAATTGACTTATACCATTTTTGCATTAAACGACTCAAATATAATAGAGCTTCTTGTACCCTTGAACAAATTTTCAATTCCAAATTTTGTTTTCCTGTTGGTTCGGATATAGCGAACACATTAAAATAAATCAACATACTTTTAATCTCAATTTTCGATCCGTAATTCCCCTTCAATCTATCCACAAGTTCAAATGAAAGCGAAAGGGAGCAGAACGCACAGTGACCGCTTTTATTATTCCTGTCACGTCCATTTTTCTCGTCGTTCACCACGACGCGACACCACGCGAACATTTATCTTCTCGGTTGGCGATATTATAATCCGCCCATAAATTCTTACGATCCGTTAAATGCTTAAAAAGACACTAACAGCTGGCCAGCACACGAGTTCCTTTCATTTGGCGCCGCGTGTCGTTCTATCGAGCTCGATAGCTTCGTCTCATCAAATCTGTCCCCAATGCAATTAACGAAGCGACTCTCTCCATAGGATTAACATTATGAAGTTATTTGTCGCGGTCGAAGATAAATGCAGGTATCGACTACCATATGTTATACGTGGTTGGAAAGTTAGTCAGTTGAATAACACAGATGCAAGATATGTACTGTTGGTCATTCAGAAGAAGGCACCTGGAAGAAAAGTGGGTCTGATTGGTTGTGTATGATAAATCTAATAGAACCATAAAGATAGATTCAACAACTGTGTTAGTGAAGATGATTAAGTAGCAGGTTTGTATCCTCCCGACGTTCACAAGTTCAAATTTTACGATTTAATTAAAATAAACACATGTAATTGCCGAAAGTTTCACATCTGCAAATAAAATTAACATATACATTGAATTTAGAGAGTCGTAGCGTAACTTATAATTTAAATCGTGAAGTTTCTTTTAAAGATTCAAGACTCGAAGTTTAATGTAACATACCATTATAAACCAATCAGACCCGTATTCGTTGCTCTAGTCAACTGTCCGGCTACGGACAATACGCATAGCTATCGTTATAGCACAGAGATCAACGATATTTACTCAGAGTATTTCATAGATCCTTATCCTTTCGTTGTGTGAAAGTTTTTCTCTTGCGATGGGCA